AAAAGACGAAACCAGGGCCCTCGAAACGGACGATATCTCGATACGCACGCGTCACTTTCGCTTCGTTTACGAAAGTTGGCGGCTGTGGACGAGGAGGGAAACGAGAGGCTAACTAATTAACTAACTAACTTCGAGCAGTTTTTCCTCTCGCCACGACGCTAAGTTGAAATGTTACATGGGATCGATGCTGTCGTCCGACAGCTGAAGAAATTTCACCTGGGATGACGCGCGACGACCCAGATTTCCCGCGGTGATTAATTAACCAGCGAACGTGCCCTCCAATCGAGAACGTATTTTGGATACTTGGAACAAAGCGTGATTCGTTTATAATATGCGGTCTCGTTTTGTAGAAACGATTTGATGAACGTGAGATTTAAGAAACGCGTGGGGAATACGTGAGAATACGCGAGTTATGAAACGAGAGAAGAAAAGAAATCATTATACGTTACTGTGTTAATTAATTCCTTGTGTAAATAATATACTTGAATATTTAAGGTGAAACTTAAAATTTTATAAGTTTTCAGAGACTATTGCAATAATTTTCCAAACTTAAAATCTGGAAACATTGACGTTCGACGTTTTCTATAATTATCGCGATCACGAATATCACTGTCGAATAATATACTTGAATATTTAAGGTGAAACTTAAAATTTTATAAATTTTCAGAGATTATCGGAANAAAGAATTTTAAAAAAAAAAAAAAACTTAAAATCTGGAAACATTGACGTTCGACGTTTTTTATAATTATCGCGATCACGAATCATAGTCAAAAGTATGACTGTCGAATAATATACTTGAATATTTAAGGTGAAACTTAAAATTTTATAAGTTTTCAGAGATTATTGCAATAATTTTCCAAACATAAAATCTGGAAACATTGACGTTCGACGTTTTGTGTAATTATCGCGATCACGACGAATCATAGTCGAAAATATTACTGTCGAATAATATATATGAATACTTAAAATTTATTAAGTTTTCAGAGATTATTGCAACAATTTTCCAAACTTAAAATCTGAAAACATTGACTTTCGATGTTTTGTGTAATTATCGTGATCACGACGAATCATAATCGAAAGTATTACTGTCGAATAATATATTTAAATATTTAAGGTAAAACTTAAAATTTTATAAGTTTTCAGAGATTATTACAACAATTTTCCAAACTTAAAATCTGAAAACATTGACTTTCGATGTTTTGTGTAATTATCGCGATCACGAATCATAGTCGAAAGTATGACTGTCGAATAATATACTTGAATATTTAAGATGAAACTTAAAATTTTATAAGTTTTCAGAGATTATCGGAAGAATTTTCCAAAAATCTGGAAACATTGACGTTCGACGTTTTGTGTAATTATCGCGATCACGACGAATCATAGTCGAAAGTATGACTGTCGAAATGGAGGTTTCGAAACATAGTAGATCTAAAAAAACGTCTACGTTTCCACGTTTCTATGTTGTTCCGCGCATAGGATGTTGATGCAATCAGATTTATCCGGGGAAATCCTTTTCTGGAACGTTAATTTTAAATAATTCAGAGAACAATCGACGATTAGAAATTTCAAAAAGTGGCAACAATTATGAAACAACTAACGTTAAGAATAAACGTATTAATATAACGCGTTCCAGTTTCTAACCAATCCATTCCCTGTACATAATAAAACGTAACCGAAAAGAAATTAATTCTTTATCTCGAAGAGAATCATCGAGGAGGTTACGAAATTTCGTCCATTATCGAAATTCGAAATAGAATCCTTGCGATCAAATTAAATCTCTATCACACACACGCATACAATCTTTACACGAGACGTGTAAAAATTCAAAACGCGTGTTAAAAGAAACTTTAGCGCTTTCGTGCGCAAAGAAGAAGCAAAGAAGAGCAGCGATACGTCTTCTTCTTTCCCTACGTGGCTGGCGATCATTTTCCAGCGCGTGTGCAATCACGAAACGAGGCGATCATCCGGGCTTCGCGGGCAAGAACGAACGAGAATTCGCTCTGCTTTATGGAGAGGAGGCTCGACTCGACCAGCTCTCCGTCTCCCCGTCTCCGTCTCCCTCCTATCTGCGCCCACGTGAACGCGCTCCTTCTCCCGAGAAAATTATGGCGCATCCCTTGTACGGCGGTAAACAAAAGATCACGGCCACCGGCAAAAAAAGGCACTCCACTGCGCCTAAACGTGCGCGTGGAATTCCACCGCGTGAAAGGGGGCGGGGGAGGGGAGGCGCTTAAACGGAGACCTTGTCCGCGATAAACTAATTTACGCCCCTCGGATTCCGCGCCCAATTACGGGAAGGGAGATGAACGAAACGTGCGCGTGTTCCTCGCGTTTTCCGTTCGGTGTTGCGCATCCAAGATAGAAATATCTCTTTTTTTTTTTTTTTTTTTTTAGGAAAAAAATAGGAGTGCATTGCATGCAAAATATATATAACACGGTCGCGGGGATACGTTGATTCTTATGCTTATAGAGGGGGAAAAAAATTTAATGCGGTGAAAGAAAACAATGATAAAGGCTGGATTTTCTAGCAAGACACAATGCTCGTGTATCCATTCAAGTGTACAATCTATCGCGTGTCTTG